TTGGGTATCCTACGCTCCCTGCTTCGGGTAGCTGAAGCGGCTATCCACACATCCAAGGTCGCGCGTCGGAAGGCCTATATAGCCGCGTCGACGCGTACGGTAACTAGCACTAGGGTCCTTTCAAAATACTGGCGCTTCTTAGCTTGTATTGATTAACGACTTCCTTATCCTTGCTAGTGGTGTGCTAATATAATTCGGATATGAGACAATCGGCACTGTCGGTATCGGTGGCGCTCCTAGTGGAGATCTTGACGAGGCAGATGCGATGGCTGCACTCCTGTAAGTGATAGATAAGCTAGAATGAATTACCTTTTGGCGTGATATCTGTATCAAAAGAATGGTATTAAGGCCATCGGCAATTTTGGCCTACCGTACCTTCTATTATAGAGGACTTTTTTGTTATTTAGAAATGCGATGACATTTGTTTGGTGTTAATCGTTACTTGAATTTCCCGCGAAAGTTTGATCTAATACACCCTCCAATTACCTGCCTCTCCAGGCGAGTTTCGTATACTAAAGTATCCGGAGCTTTCGAGATTCATGCGAAGCTCACGAAATTTGCTCGTTTTCGCCTTGCGTTCGAATAAGAGGTCAATCTCGAGATAACTTAAACTAAAGGTCTCCGGCAGCCTCTAGTAGTACCAAACGAGGTATAGAGCTGTAGTGCTAGCGAAGAAGAAACAGGACTTCCCCTTCTAGTCCCACGCTGCGGGGCTTAATATCCGTGGAGTTATCTAATTGATGAGAATACCGGCTAAATTATAGGCAGTCCGAGCTAGGACCACCGTTTTGGTACGAAGCCGAGTCGATGGGATTTCCGCGACTAGTATATAGCACACGGGTCCGACCGTTATGTCGTATATAAATGTCAGAATTAAAAGTAAAGAACCAAGAGTCTAGAGCTGGCCGTGGGATGTTGGAAGAGTGCCGACAATGCTACTAACTAATAAAATAGTTAGTAGGGCTGAGAGGCCGCAAAGATATAGCCGACGACGTCCGAAACGTGATAAGAGCGACTAGGAAATCATAGCACTAACTATGGCTATTCCGTAGGTGCCTAGTGAGAGATTGAAGGCGTTGTCTATACTGAACCCTGCTTGCTCGTAGAATGTTGACGCCTAGCCTATTAAGCTAGTCCCGTAAATCTGTTGTGTGATCTATACTATACAGGCGATCTCAGTTCGTCGGCGATTAACTCCTTTGAAGGTATCAAAGTATAACATACCGCCACCATCTTCTTTTAAGTACTTTTCAATCTCATTAGTTTACACTATTAGAGCCACTGTCTAGTCAATATTAATCTTGTGCTTCCTGGTTAGCCTTCTCAAAGACTTTTCGGTATCCTTTTGTTTCCTGTGGCGGATCAGCCACTATGGGGATTCCGGGGCGAATGTAACTGCGACTAGGATAGGTAGACAAATAGCCCACTGAAGTGTAAAAGGGACCCGATATGACTACTGGGATGCGTTGTCGACGAACTTTCTTAGTATTCCCGTAGCCAAAAACTGGCCAAGAACCTAATATAGGTTGATATTACTGAGTAGGTATGCGCGAAGCGTGATAGGCATTACTTCCGTAGCGTATGTGATTGCTAATGTCTGAAAAACGCCCTATGGAACACCACACAAAATTTGGGCCGCTAGTAATATCTGTATATCTACTGCAAAAAATGGTAATAAAATACTCAACATTAGGAATGTTAACGCGGACACTATGGTCTAGCGGTAGCCGATTCGATTAGTAAAATAGCTATTTGTAAGTAGCCCGACTATCTCGCCGGCCTCTGCTGCGGTTGATAAGGCGAATTGCCACGTCGAAGAAATTTGATACCCGGAGTTAGATGTTGGCGTTCCGTATCTTTGTTTGAATGTAGGGAAAGCGAAGAAGTTAAAAATTAGAAGGGTATCGAATCCTTCTATTATTAAGGTGGAAGATAATATGAATGACTAGGCTATAGCCTTAGGGTATAAGCGACACCCACGAAGGAAGGTTAATTCCTGTTTAGCCCGGGTGGCTGCTCTAGCGGGGAAATCGAGAGGTCGTAATCCCGGTAATGCCGTCGCGAACTGTGCGGTGAGGACGGCGGTATTAGTTAGACCGAGAGTCCCACTGTTGGGGCTACCTTGCTCTGTGTGTAAGTAGAATGGAGAAGAGGTTGTGCCGTCGAGGACCTCGTTTCTCTGAGTAATATTTGAAATGTTTTCTAAATTATTCGAAGGATACACCTCAGAAAAGGAAGCGGGGCTAATGACACCTGATATGTTATTTTCTTGGGATGTCGGCAGCATATTTTCCTTGGTATGATAAGGAAAGCTATCGTTCTAGCCTTTTTTCATCTAAATACGAGTAGCTTAATTGATAGACCTACTTGACGCCGTTAAATATTATCCGAGTGACGACGTATTAATGTATGAAGAGGTGGTAATAGGCTTTATGCTGAGGATACCTTAGGTGAACGTGACGCTACCTGGGAAGGTTCTCGCCTTGCTAAAAAGTTGAAAACCTTGGACTATATAAGCCATAGCTCTGCCGACTCGTGGTTGTTCCGGACGCGGCTTACGTCGCGAAAGCCACTGGATGTATAGCCTTGGCGTCCTATAAGATGGGGCGGGGTAACTATGTTAGTGGAGCGCCGAGTTCCGATATGGTCTAGAAGTCGAAGCCAAACTTTATTACGCTAGCGTACTAAGGCGGGCGCTTTTAATTATTTAACTATAAGGTCTTAAACACTCTGTCTGATCTAGTTCTAGCTAAATCGTGTAACCTTATCCTTACGATATCCCCCACACTACTAGGTCGTCGCCTCGCCTAGGACGGAACTAGCCTCTATTATCGGCACTTAAACTAGAAATTACTCACTTTAATATATAGCTTCTCGTAGTTCTACAAGTAGCAGAATTATTACACTCAACGCTCCTAGGGTACGATTACTACCTATTACTCCTATCGATTAATCTTCTCTAGTAGTTCTAGTCGTTCTCAAAAGCTAAATAATTCTCGATTTTCCTATATCGACTATCTTACCAAGACAGACCTCGGAAACCTAAAGCCGGGCGGTTAGATTCGCGAGCTACTAGACTGTGGCTAATTTCGAGCTCTAAGGTTTGCAAAAACCATAACAGTTTCCATGAAAAGAAACACCCATAGAGATATTCAAAAAAAGAAGTACAATAGCATCGGTGACTTAGGAGAGCAATTTAACTAATATAGGATTCGTGGGGTCAGTTTATACGGAGAGCACTTAATTAATACCTTTATACGCGCCAATTTAAAGGCATTAGTCTTACAAAGCCTCCAACGAATAAATACCCAGGATAGTATACACTTTATACGGGCTTTCAATATCAGTAAGTTCTCTTCCTTAACGCTAGCCTTGATTTAATGTGCGATGAAGAGATATATTCCTAGCCTCCCGCCTACACTGCTATCGTTCTCTATAAATATACACTCTATAAGAAAATACAATAACAAACCATACGCGACGGAGGATCTTAGAGCTTACTACGGTAGTCTTATTTAAAAGTCCTTAGCTACCACCTAGGCTTTTTCTTAACAATTTCCAATATTTCCGATGCTGCTATGTTATAGATAAAAGATATTGAAAGTATATTAAATCTGAAATAAGCACCTTGCTTTGCTCTAAATAGAATAAATAGAACAGCTATATAGCATAATAATGAACTATCTAGATAAGTCACTATTCATCCGCCCGGAGGTAAACTTAAACAGAATTATGCGATCCTATCTCTTAAGAAAAAGAATCAGGCCGAGTCTATGGCACCACAGTCCGATTTTGATGCTTAAGGGTGGAACCTATAAGCCTCAGTTCCCAACATTAGGCCGTTTTTAAGGTCGAATTTCAGTTTCTACCTATATAATTACTTGACAAATTGAGCTAAAGTCATTTCAGACTAAGTAAAGTACAGGTTTCATTACACTACCAGTCACTAATGTCCACCTTCAGAATTTGGGAAGCTGAGTGAGAACATTCTGCTTTAAAAGCGACTAGAAGAGCCTATTATAGAACAAGGCTTTTTATATTATGATGATCGCCAATTCAACCTTATAAAATCTACTAGATGTTAATTCTATGTATAAGAGGCTGTGGGTAATAGCCCACGGTAAGCCCGGACGGAGAACTGTATTGGGTAATACCAAGTTTTATGTCTTTGCTCTATTTGAGTTAGTGCTAGAAACTTGCTGAAGCTTATATATTAGTTTAGTTCGATTGCTAACGGGACTATGCTCCCTTCCGTTGCCTAGTCGCGACCTTCCTTGCCTTCCACTACCTAGAATAATTGATGATATCCCTAAGAGCAACTTATATGTAGATATATAGGATAGACAAAGTCCGCCCTAAGGACACAGTGTCCTTAATCACCCTAGGCGATTACTGATTATGTTTGTGTAAAATACCCTTTTACACTAGCCCACCTTACTCCTAGGAGCGCCTTATGTATAGGGGTCTACTCCTGGGAAGCATATGTGTAATACTTCTTATTAGTCGTACGTGACTCCTGCGGGTATCGTCTTTCTTGCGGGTTTGGTTGGCTGACGTTGTCCCCCGCGGGTTTCTAACGGTTTGCCTGGTAATATAAGCCTTCGCGTCTTCTACTCCCTACTTATAGAGAAATGTGCATAAGCCGTGCGAACCCTTTACCCCACATTAGAAGAACCAATGTCTATAGTACCTGTATAGAGTGTCGAAAGAAAAGAGTCAAGGTTCGGAAGCATTCACGTTCGTGTGGAAAAGAAACTAAAAAAGTGGCAGTGTTCCCGTATAATTCCCTGTGCACGGTACACAGTAACAGGATACATATATATTTTTGACCTAGCACGGATCGCAGACGCCGTGGCCATTTCCTTAAGTTATATAAATCTAATTAAGTACTTTGTATTATAATTAACTAACTCCGATATAGAAATTCGGATATACTTAAATCGTTAATTCTGGTAATTCGTAGGTTTAGAACGGACCAAGATACGATAACCTATAGAGTGCAAAGAAACGGATTCTCTAATAATTAAGCTAGGGTGTGATATTTACTTTCGTTTTATTTGAACTCAATGTTGTTTCGAGAGTGTATAGCCCAGACCTATTAGGTGATGTATTAGATCGTAGCTTAAAGATATCAACTAAACTAAAGATACTATAATCCGCTCGGCTACCAACTCTGCTTAAAAGAGGAATAAAGGATCTTTTTTTCATCGTGTTCGTTTAACGCTACGGCATTACTAAAAAGGTGGATACCAAGAGCTTTTGCGAAACCTGTAGTTAGAATATATTTTAATATCTAAGGCGTTAACGCTATTGTATACTTCGTTAGGAATTTCTACGCGTAGCATAATTCTCCGTTACCTAACCCGTCTTCATTTCATAGTACGAACAACCTTATCTAGAGGTTTTAGCATACGAGTATTAGTACAGCTAGTATCTTAGTAGACGCTCGATTATTATAAGATCAGGAAACGGTTGAAGCTAATGCTGTGGATAGCAATTTGAAAATTCGAAGGCTCTTACTTGAAGGAGTCTAGTAACGGTGGAGGAATTCTTAGCCTGTAGTCATAAGCCTAAGCGCTATTTACTAAAGCGACAGAGAGCTTCCAAATTTCATTCCACGTAGTAAGCTGAATATAGTATTTTAAGCAGAATTTAATAGTATATTGTAGCCAAGAGTGCTGCCGAGCTGATTTTGTTTCATATTACCAGTAACTAATAACAAGACGAAATTGTAAGATAACTTAGCCATCGATCGGGACTCCACCATTTAATCTAGGCCTGATGAGGACGGATGGTGTTAGTTCTCTCCGATAGAAACCGGAATATCCCCTATAGTACCGAATTCTTTCCATTTTCTAATATCGACTCGGTATTTCGGGTTGTGGTTACGGATCAGAATTGAATTCTGTTCTCTAGGCTACGTAGTTGCACGCTAAGTGAGAGTGTAAATTCTCGTATCCCTTATATCGTCAATAAGGTCTATTACACTAGAGGGCCCTAATATGGAACCCGGTTCGCTTATAGAGTAAATCTCCCGATAGCCACCGTTATAACGAATACTCATATTATTAATATCGTCGGTGGTTAGGATATTATTTGGGTTACCGAGTCTGTAGAACTCCCCGCTAAGTTAACGTTAGGAATTACATAAAATCATAACTTAAATCGGTTTGTGAAAGAGGCACCTTTCTATTTAAGCATTTTCAAGGCGGATATTATACTTTATATTATCTTGAATGATAATGTCGAGATATTGGTGGGTATCTATATCGAGGTTTGACTAAAATGGTAACACTTAGTAGGTGAATAAGGTAGTCAAGATTAATTAATACGTATAGTAGGGTGGCTTTGTATACTGTTAACAGAGTATTAGTAGAGGAGTAATACTTTCTTATACTAAAATTATTTTTACGAGGAAAATACTCTTCGAGTAAATATCATAATAACGTAGGCTATTTCTTCCTTCACCTAAGGTAGCGTTCATTAAATAATTAGAATTGTATCCGTAGTCCTAATCTAGGCGGTACTAAAAGTTAGTTAACATCTCAAAGTGCAGACTTCTATGCTAGTCATAAGATAAGGTCATAAAAGTTCGTAAGTATAATTTAATAGTTTTTAGTCAAGGCTATTATCCAATATTTCTTACAAAACTAGTAATTTAGGCTAAATCTATCTTATCGTAGCACTAGGATTAGTGGGTACTCGGAGAAAGGAGATACTATAGACCCGCTAGGATTAGTCATATATTTAGACTATCTAAATTGCCAGCTAGGGGCTTAGGAGCAATTCAAACTCTATGACTTCTATTGGTACACCTATACGGATAACTCATCTCTGTTCCTAACACATATTAGTGTTTAGTGTATCACGTGGTCAGGATATTAAGGAATATGGCTGGAACAGCTAGATTCGTGGGTGTTCGGCGAAAGGAGATACTGTTGTACTTCGTATATCTAGCAGGATTAGTTATATAATACGGCCCACTCAATTGACAATCAGGGCTATGGTAGTTGATATCCTGTTGGTGTACTAATTCGACTAATAGTTAGTCGCTATGCCGTAGGATATGTCCCGATAAAGGGCTATTTAGGGATGGTTGGTGATTAGCACGCGTCGGACCTAAAATTACGTGTGATTTTAGGGAAGGGCCGAAGCGGCGTATTTTTGCTTATCCCTAAATGTGGGTGTATATAGCAGCCTAAATATATTCTCGCTATCCCCCCCCTAAGTACCCTAAATCTTGGTATTTTCCGATTAGGTCTTTAAGATCTTTTAATAAAGCGGTCT